TAAATGCCAATTTCCAATCTTAGAATCAGCGCAATCTTGAAGACCCATCTCCATTATTGTGTTGTCAACAATACCATCTATCTCGTCTTTAGTCATTTTCCTAGGAAGCCTCAAGTGAGCCGAGTAAGTAATTGTTTCTCTGACTGTAAGGGTTCCCAAGAAAAAATCTTCTTGAGTAACGTAAGACTGAAATTTGAAGAAACATATACCAGGTAAGATGATAAACAATATTTAGCTGACCTTCCAATATTTGCTGTAAACAGATAGAAACAAAGCAAGACCTGAAGAAGTAACCCACGTTATTAGAGGTACTTCGAACTCCTTACAATATCTCTGCACTCTATGCTGCTTCTCTTGGCATTGATAAGGACTTTTCCACTCAATTTAACATTTGAAGAAAGTCTTCCTGTTTATGGGATCAAGAAAGAAAATCGGAACAGAATCATAACTCATGTATAGTTTGAACACGCAGAATTCCAATATCTACAAGTTGCAATATGTTCATTAACCATCCACAAATTATTTTCAAAAATATGTTCTTGAAGGTTGATGAGGAGAGACTTATACCAGCCAATGAGTCAAGTAGCGTGGATTTGCCGGACCCAGAAGGTCCCATGATAGCCATGATGTGGCCTGGTTCAGCATAACCACTAAGATCACTTAGCAATTTCCTCGTTGAACCACTCGTGATCATGCTAGGTAGCTCCACCGTGAGATTTTCCCATACCAAGCACATTGTTTTGTCTCCTTCAGTTTCTTCACTGCAATGTTAAACTTCCAACGTTTGCATCCACGCAATTCTTAATGACTTTCTATCCTCCAATAATTGACATCAATTAAACGCAATTAAAAGTGATTTGAACTATTCAACGAACATGCAGTGCTTTGTTCCCCAAAAGTTAACATTAAATAAAATAAAAATAAAAATTAGATTAGTGTTTTATTGTACATAAATTCATTATTACTCTTAAAAGTATATTTTTATCAAGGTTAGAAATCAACTCATCTCAACATTTCAATGATTGAGGGCTACGACTCTTATATATGTAAGAAACGGTTATAACAAAAAAAACTAATTGTAATTGCTGTAACTTTCTTTATCAGAAAACTCCTTTCATTTCTTTATTTTTCTCGTTATAGCTTGTAGGATTTACTTCTGAGGCTTGAAATCCAAGTAATCTTTCAATACCCTCTCCTAAGCTACTTACTGGTTTAACTCCAAGTTTCAATCTTAGTTGCTTGAATTTGTCTTTAGACAGAGCTTTTGTAAAAATATCTACAAGTTGTTCTTCACTTTTGCAAAATTGCATGTTGATCACTTTCTCTTACAGAACTTCCCTTATGAAATGATACTTCCTGTTTATGTGTCTAGTTTTTTGATGAAAAACTAGATTCTTGGCCATTGAAATTGTTGACATATTATCACAAAATAGAGGTGTTGCTTTAGCTTGCATTTTAACACAATCAAAATATTGATGTTTTCTTCTAAGTGCAGGAGTGTCGAAGTAATAAATAACCCGACAAGACCGAGGTCGACCTACAAGGAGGTTAACTATATAATAATAACAACAACAAGAATAATAATAATAAAAAGAAGAAGAAGAAGAAGTTAAAGAGGATTTTGAGATGTAAGATTAATATGAGGATTAAACAATAATAAAAAAAAAAAATCAAGGTTAGTGTATCTACTAATGGTATTTTAAATAAGTATAATATAAACTCTTTTTATTACTCAACTGGAAACCACACATAAAGGAGTTTCCAATTGGATGACTTGTCATTAATAGCTTATTATAAATTATTAACATGATCATATTGATTATCTTATTTAAGTAACACCAAACTTTTAAATATTGTCAGGAATTCATGATGCTAACTTATATTAACAACAAATCAAGTTCTTTTCATATCACAAGTGTAAGTTATACCATACGGTTGGCTATAAAAGTGTCAAGAATTTGTTATACCAATTGTTATACAATACAAATCTAAATTAACCATTAAACAAGTAAGGTATTAAGAATTAGTAAGATAAAAAGATAAGACATGTTAATAGCAAGTTATTTATGATAGAAATATTGAAGTCCATATTGAGTTTATATTATACTTATCCTAACACCATTAGTGAAACCTTTTCACCTTCACATAATAAACTTAGATAAATATAATGAAAAATATAAAGATAAATAAACAACATAAGAACATAAGTATAGTAAAGGAAATGAAAAGCATAAACAAGAGATTAAGAAAAATATAATATGAAATAAAACTTAAACATTACAAAAATACAAAGAAAAAAAAAGTAAAAACATGATCTTGATATGAAAACTAAGATGCCTAAATACATGGCAAATGCCTCTTTTTATAGGCCAAAATTGGAAAATATTGATTTGTTGACTAATTTTTGAGTGGTGATCACATCTTGACTTGGTGACAATCCTTATCTTCTTATCTGAACAAAATGTCATTACTAATATCAGACTTTGAATAGACTTAAACCATGAAAGTTCTAGGAAATTGTCTCAGATTAAAAAAAAAAAGAATCGATGCATTTGATCTTTTAAAACTCGAGATATGGGCTGAACACTGAACAATGTTTGGGCTGCAGGACAACTTTGTACTTCTCTATTATTGCTACAATTTGGACCTGAAGATGACCTTTTTAAATCTTGGACTTCCATGAAAGTTTTAAGCCTATATCTTAGCTTTTCATTCATATAGAGCAGAACTAAATCCAAGATTTGCAGCTCCAGATATGACCCAATGACCGAACAGTGTTCCAATTTGGATTGAACCAATATCTCTTTTCTATGTTTGACCCTCTTTTTGTCCTATTAATTTAGTATTTAAACTCATTAATCAATCCTTTCATTTATATGATAGGTTTGCATTTAAGATGAACATTTACTATAAATCAAAGGTATCTTATAGTATCAGACTTGTTATTGCAAAACATGCTTTAGTTAAGGAGTTATTGATACTTCAAGTGTAAAATGATGATATAAAACCTTGATAAAGATGCACTTTTAAGTACTAATCACATTTCACCAAAATCATCAAGAACAAATCTTAACCAAATGGCTTGTGTTGTTGCTTCAAATGCTGAGACATACTCAGCTTTCGTTGTTGATAATGCCATTGTATTCTGTTTCACAAAGGCCTAAGAGAATGCTCCACTTTCAAAACTAAATACATAACCAGAAGTGCTCATATTATCATCTTCACTTCCTGACCAATCTGGATCATATAATCTAATAAGAGTGGTTGTTTGATCTCTCACATACTCAATGCTATAGTTGAGAGTCCCTTGCACATATCTTAGAACCCTTCTTGCAGCTCCTATATGCATTTTGGTAGGACTATTCATAAATCATGATAGCAAGCTAGTAGCATACATTAGATCAGGTCTTGTTGCTGTTAAATATAATAAGCTTCCTACTATTTTCCTGTAGAGCCCTTCATCAACTAACACACTCTCATCCACCTTCTTTAGTTTCTTATCAGTGGATAAATGAATCGAGACTGGTTTGTAGTCCTTAAACCCAAACTTCCTAACCAAGGATTTGACATGCTTGCTTTGATGAATGAATACTATTTGATTAGTTTGCAGTATTCTCATCCTTTAAAAATGATGAAGAAGTTTAAGATAAGACATCTCATAACTCTGCATCATTTCTCTTCTAAACTCACTAAGCATCCCCTCATTGCTATTGGTATAAATAATATCATTAACATAGATTGAGACAATAATCAAATTCCCTTCATGATCAGACCTTGTGTATAAAATAGCTTCACTTGTGCTTCAATTAAATTTGTACATTGAGAGATATATATCAATCTCACTATACCAGGTCCTTGGCTCCTACTTAAGTCCATATAATGATTTTCTTAATTTGTAAATCTTGTGCCCTGCATCTTTGACTTCAAAACTCTCAGGCTGTTCAACATATACATCTTATTCAAGCACACCATTTAGGAATGTTGACTTAACATCCAACTGGAACAACTTCGATCCCTTTTATGTTGCAAGTGCAATAAGAGTTCGAATTGTATCTAACCTTGCTATTGGTGCAAAGGTTTCATTATAATCAATTCCAGATTTCTATGTATATCCTTTTGCTATAAGTCAGGCCTTGTGTTTTTGAACTATTCTATCTAGATAAAGTTTGGTTTTGTACACCTATTTCATTCCTATAACAGGTTTGTCAATCGGTCTCTTCACCAATTCCTAAGTATTGTTCTTCTCTATCATTTCTAGTTCTTCCTTTATAGCTTCTTACCAAGTTATATCTCCAGCTATTTCTTGATAATTCTCAGGTTCTATGATGCACATATGACACCTTGGATATATATCTTCCAAGGTCTTTAACTTTACTGAAGTAGAACTAGGTGTGGAGTGTTGACTGCTATCCCTACCTATATTCTCAACTAACTCGCCAATTGTAGAGTTTAGAAGAGAATCTCTAGCATTATCAAGTTGAATTGCATCGAGTTGTTTTTCTGAGTTTTCACCTTCAACTTCATAGAGTTTAGATGAGAATCTCTAGCATTATCAAGTTGAATTGCATCGAGTTGTTTTTCTGAGTTTTCACCTTCAACTTCATCTCCTTCAAGGTTGAGAGGCATTGGTATTGATTTCATCTGATTTTTTTCTTAACTCTATAACTTATCCTCACTGAAAATCACACTTCTTAAGAAAACCATCTTCTCAAATTTCAAATCATACACTCTATACCCTTTTTCACAACTTCTATATCCCATAAAAGCTCCATTTTCAGCCTTACTATCAAATTTATGCCTCAATGATGATGGAACATGAGTGTAACATATGCAACCGAACACCTTCAGATGCTTGATTCCTAACTTTCTTCCTGTAAATGCTTTAAAGAGAGTTTTTTTTTTGTCATAAATGTTATAAAATATCTGTTCTGAAGATACACGGCTGTGCTTACAACTTCTACCCAGAAAATCACTAGCATTTCTTTCTCAGTTAACATAGACCTCACTATCTCGTAAATTATTCTGTTTCTTCTCTCTGTAACTCCATTCTATTGAGGAGAGCATGCAACAGTTAGTTGCCTCTCCATTCCCAGATTTGCACAGAAGTTTTAAAATTCATCTGAGGTGTATTCACGACCTCTATCACTCCTTAGCTTCTTCAATTTATATCCACTTTGCAGTTCAACAAGGGTTTTGAATTTCTCAAACATATTAAGTGTATCAGATTTATTTATGAGAAAGTATACCAAGCACATTCTTGAGAAGTCATCAATGAATGTGATGAAGTATCTATTCCCTCCAATTAATTCATTCTGCATTGGTCCACATAGGTCTATGTATATTAGCTCCAATGGATAGCTTGCTCTCCACGCTTGTTCTTTATCAAATTTTTCCCTGTGATGTTTTCCTAAAACACAGCCTGCACACACATCCTTCACTTTTGTCAACACATGTAGTGTACATACCATCTCCATCTGCTGTATCTTCTTTATACTAGTAAAGTTCAAATGTCCCAATCTTCTATGTCATATCCAAAAATCTTCAATCACTAATGTTTTCCTTGCTGCAAATGTCATGGATTTAAGTGAAAAAGAAAAGCATCAATTTCTCCCATGATCATTATTTCTATAACATTGTTGAGGCTTTCATCATCAAATATCATTGCTTTATTACCCCTAAAAAGGATATAATATCTATGCTCCATTATTTGCCCTACACTTAATAAGTTTTCATCCAATCCTGAAACAAGCAGCACTTCTTTTATATATTTCTTCCCAAGCCGAGTCTTTAC